TGGTTTAAAAAGATTTCAAATGTGTTTTGAGTATTTTAAAGTGAATAAAAAAGATACAAGTGAACTTACAAACAAGCAACATAGAGTGATTTACAATGAACTATTATCTCAAAGCATTAATGGAAAACTAAAAAAAAGGCTTACTTAAAAAGAAGAAAAATTCAAAGTGTGCACTATTACAATCAGTAACCATTGGCATTGTGGACAAGAAATCAATTTCTCTTTTTGTCAAACTAAGTGTTCTAAGAAAGCCCTTCAAACTTTTGCACCAATAAATAATCTGGATTTTTGATTTACTTTATTATCATATATAAGCAAGTCTAGACAAAGAGATATACAAGTATAAGATAGATAAATATCCTAGATTTATAACTATAAAAGTTACAATTCCATAGTTACATATCCTATATATATAGCTACGCAATTGTGTCAATATGCACATACCAAAGCCAAAAGCTTCGGTATGTGCATATACACACAATTGCTTATACACCAAAAAACAAGGACCAAAGCACCAAAAAAACCTAAACTAATAAATAAAGTACTGCAAAAAACGTAACTTGTAAAAAAAAAAAGATCTTTTTGCAAAAATCACAACGACAGGAGTACTGATTGATTTTCTAAATTAAGTCATTTTATTAAAGATTTTTGATTTTTTTCTCATCAAAATTAGCAATAAAATCAAATCGGAATAGTATTTCGGAACAAAAAAAAGCGTGTTATTGATATAGTATTTTGAAACAGAGGGAGTAGTAAAGAAAAATTTCTGTTTATTTATTTTTATTTTCTCAAATGTCTGCTCTCAAAAAAGTCCAAAAATACAAAAAATTATAAAAATATATATATATTAAAAAAAAAAAACACAAAAAAACAGAGGGGTGCCATAATAATTATACACTAATCTAACATGGTAATGGACATGTTCTAATGCATTAATATCACCTACCAATCAAGGAAACCAAGCAGATTTTCTAGGTATGGATGGGCAAAAATTTTTTACAACTGTTTAGTTGCTAATTTATCTAAATATTGTTTCTGAGGGTAGCATTGCATCCTGGTTAATTTATAAGAATAATAGTCAACATACTTTTTTAACTTTTCACAGTCCCCATATTTTATGTTTTATCTCTTTTTTGTTTTTATGCCTTCCATGTCTCTTTTATAACAACATCATCTTCACCATTACACATATTTTTATATTTTATATCTTGTAGGAGGCTTCCTAGGCAAAGACTTTAGAGGTAAGCAGAATAATTCTGCTAACCAGCCTCGAACCCCTTCTTCTTTATCTATTAGGCTGGCATAGATGTAAACCTGTGTTACATTGTTTCCTGCCTAGGACGATGAATGCTGGATCTTCTTGACTCTTCTCATAAGTTTTTGCTTGTGCCTCCTTGATAGTGGTTATGTAACTCTTCCTGTGAGGGTACAGGTCTAAAACTCAGTTAAATGGTTCTGAGTTCCATCAACAGCTGCAAAATAACAGAGTACTAAAAGTGCCATGTTGCGCATGGATGGTATCCTTGTTAATGCTTTTGGTGTGCATTGTTGAGGCCACATAAGGAGCCCTATGTTACAAATTAGGGTTAATTAACAGGGCTGAGAAAATTGCATAGGTCATTGCTTAGGAGGCCATGCTATATCTATGAATGAGTCAAATACTTTAAATTTAAATCATGCCAAAAGTAATCCAAAATATTAAACATAAAAAACCATTCCTACCACCTGTTTTAATATATCTTTTACTAATATTCGCGGTCTGTGAAGCAACCTTCCATCAGTTGAATGTTACCTCTTACAAAATTCACCAGACTTGCTTGCTTTTAGTGAGACTAATTTAAATTCTGCTATTCCTTCTCAATTTTGATGGGTACTATCCTTTGATTTGCAAAGACTCCAATAGTCACATGCTTGGCTCAGAATATACATACGCATCAGTTCACCTATTTGTTGAAAAATCAGGTTCAAATCCTTTGACCATTCTTTTATGAGCTTCTGCTTAGCACCATTCACTCTATCACTTTTCACTTTGTTCTTTACCGTTCTCCTTCTTCCCAAGATTGCACTCTTTTAAATGTAATTTCTAATCAAATTGACCCTGCCCTCTTTTTCTGTTATTGGTGACTTATACCTATGTTCATCACCCTAAATGGCTTGGCTTTAACGTCACTGACCCTGCTAGCACTAAACCCTATAACTTCTGCATTTCTCAATTTCTTATTCAGATACCTAATTTTATGACTCGTTTTCCTGACAACTCTAATTATTTACCTTCACTCCTTGATTTATGTCTGGTCTCTGATCCCAGCTTGTGTTCAGTTTTTCCTTTTTCTTCTTTAGGTCGTTCAGACCATACAATGATCTTTTTAAATCTTTCATCTCGTATTACCTTTTTGCACTCACTCTATCATCGTACTTCTTACTAGTACCCTAAAGCGAACTGGGATTCTTTTCATGATTTTCTTCATGACGATCCTTGGGCTGATGTCTTTTCCCTCTCAGCTAAAAAATGCAAATGGATGCATATATTTATTCTCATCGGTTCCCAATCAAGCCTCATTCTACTCCATGGTTTTCACCATTTTGTGCAGCTGTTATATCTAATTGTAATCATTTTTTTAATCTTTTTCAAAAGAACAACTTTCTTGAGAACAAACACCTATTTATCATTGCAAGAAATCCATGTAAAAAGGTGCTGTCAGATGCTAAACTCCATTATTCTCAGCTCAATAAATCTCATGTCTTATCTCAGAAGTCAGACTGTAGAGATTTTTAAAAAATCTTTAACAGCTCATTAACAAAGGTAGGTCTAACATTCCAACTCTCTTATTCATGAGGATGATTTTATCATCTCTAAAAGATAAAGCAGAACTATTTGCATAAATTTTTTTTTTTTTTTTATATTTCTTTAATCTCTTGAATCTTATGGCCATTCTCTTTCTTCTATTCCAATTAAACAGGTTAACCCATTGTTAGACATTCAAATCACTCCAGCTTTGTTAGACATTCAAATCACTCCAGCTTTCGTTGCTCAAGTCATATCTTGATTAAACTCTTCTACGGCTTGTGGTCCAAGTAAAATCCCTGTCATATCTAACAAATGTGTTCTCCAGAACTCTCTTCAATTCTCCCTAAAATTTTTAATAAGTGCTTGACTGAATCTTGTTTTCCTGCTTGCTGGAAAATAGCATTTGTTGTTCCAGTTTTTAAAAACTCTGGTGAACATTCTGACTCCTTTAATTATCGTTCGATCAGTCTTCTTTCTGTTATTTGAGTCTTTGATCAACAACTTTCTCACATCCCATTATGAGTCAAATAACTTACTGTCTGGCAATTAATGCCGTTTTTGATCCTTTTACACTACAGCTAACTTGCTAACTGCTGTGATCGAAAGATTTTATTGTGCATTAAATGGAGGTGGAGAGGCTAAGGCTATTGCTCTTGACATATCTAAAGCTTTTGACAAAGTTTTGGCATGCTGGTCTTCTCCATAAGCTTGTTTCATATGGGAAAGTTTTTGAGATTGTATCAAATTGTTTCTTTCTAATCGCTTTGTTTAGGTCATCCTTGAAGTCCAAGGATGATTTAAACTTCTTATTCTTATTACTTCTTTATTTTCAGTAACTTCTGGGGTATCTTAAGGTTCTATTCTTGGTTATGTTTTGTTTCTTATCTACATAAATGATCTTCCCAACAACTTTTGTCTAAAGTAGCTCTTTTTGTAGATGATTCAATTTTATACTCCTGTTTTGACAAAAAGTCTTCTCTTTGTGATTGCTTAGAATCTTGATCTTGAATCTTGCTTCAGTAACAGATTAAGACTCACATTGGCTTGTAAATGTTTACTCCGATAAAACTCAGTTATTTACTGCAAACAACTATCACAGTACTGTTAACATCCCTATATTAATGAATGGCAACTCTCTCATTGAGTCCTCTTCTTTATGTCTTCTTGGTTTATCACTTTACTACTGACCTTTCATGGAAACCATATATACAATCGATTGCTAAATTAGCATCTACAAGATTGCTGCTTTTTATCATGCTTACCATTTTCTCTCTCCTGATTCCATTCTCTACCTCTACAAATCTCTTAATCGTCTCTGTATGGAATGCTGTTGTCATATTTGGGCTGGTTTTTCTGATGATGCCCTTTCTCTTCTTGACAAGATCCAAAAATGCATTGTAAATGTAGTTGGACATGCTCTATCTGCTAAGCTTGAGCCTCTTTTCATGATTGTAAAGTTACATCTCTTTCTCTTTTCTACAAATTCTATCATGGTCGCTGCTTTATAACTATTCTTTTTTTTATAGTAACTCCCAACTTAATAGTGGTTGCTTGTTGGGAGTGAATCAGAATAATAAAAAAAAAGAATTATTTTAATTAATATTTATTGTTATTTATCATCAATAAAATTTATTAGTTAGTTTGACCATGCAGTGTTTATGTTTAGATTGGTTATGATTAGACCTAAGTTTTTGAAATTCATTTTATGTCTTGCAAGTCATTGTCCACAAGGTATTGTCCAAAAGATAATTTGATCGGCAAGCATAAAAAATTATTCTTTCATTTGCAAGACTACCTGCCTATTATTTAAAATATTTATTAGTTCTGTAGGGTTTAAAGTCTTCATTTTTTCAAGTTTTGAGTCATTTGTGAAATGTTTTTTTGTACATAGAAGTTTAAGCTTCCAGACACTTTAGAAAAAAGTTTTGAATCTTTTAAATCCTGGATTCTCACTTATCCTGGTCAACAAGCAGTTCAGGGTTTTAATAACACAGTCAGACAATTTAAATTTTTTTCATGAGATTTTTTGTTAAAGTTTAAAAATAAAATAATTTTATATATTTTCAAAACATTAAGTAGTTTTATTAATATTCAAAATATTCTGTTTTTGAAATTTTAAACAAAAGTTTTAAGTTATTTTAGTTATTTTTTTCATTTGTGAAAATTCAGTTATAAAAACTATAAAGTTTTTTTTTAAATACTTTTTCTTAAGGATGCATCTCATCTTGGATATTTGACTTCAGAGCAGGCTCTTGCAGACTTTGCTGTTTTGATTGATTACATAAAGGTTGTTTTTTTTAAAAATTAAAAAATTTTTTTTTTTTTAACTTTCATCATTTATGTTAAAAAGAATTATTAAAGAAATAAGTCAATTTGATAAAATAATAAAAATATTACGCAAAGATTTATTGATGATGAACTTTATGATGGGATTTTTTTTTATACAAATTTTTTATTTAGGTATCTGTACCTGCTACTTCTGAAAGTCCTTTTATTGCATTTGGCGGATCTTATGGGGGTAAATGTAAATTTATAAAACCATATGAGAATGCCTAAAAACAAAACATAGCAAAAAAACATGTAGAGGAATGCTACAAAGATATATAAAGCTCTAATAATACCTTGAAAATATATTATATAAAACCATTCAAGCCAGCGACAAAGAAACATTTTAGGGTCTGTTTATTCTGAGATTAATCTAGACTTTAATGTTAAAGATGTTTATTTAAATGATTGAATTATTTAAGATTTTTACAATTTATTTTGATTAAAAACAAATAAGACAAAAAATCATTTACAATTTTAAAAAAGTTGTTTTTAAATAGATTTTGTTTAAAATTAGATGTTGTTTTAAAGAAAAAAATTAAATGTACCTAAACATTTAATAATAAATAAAACTTATAATGGCATAATAAATAAACTAAATGATATTGAATTTTAATATTGTATAATCTTATATAAGATATAGTAATCAAATTTAATGTTTTGAGTTTGTTCTTGAGGTTTTAGGAACTTATATTCAGATGATGATGAGTTATATGGTTTGATTATGAGTTATATAGTTTGATGATGTTATATGTTAAATAAGTTATATTTAAGAATTCTCTTTTCTAATGTTTCTTATGTTATGAGTTTTATTAAGAATATTTATTGAATTATGGAGTTGTCTTTTGAGGTATTTTAAGATAATGAGTTGCCCAGGATGTTTTGATTTATCTTTTATGATTAATAGTTTTAGGATTATTATTTTTTAAAGTTTTAAAATTTATGATTTTTTGTAGGAATGTTGGCTGCTTGGTTCAGAATGAAGTATCCTGCTTCAGTAGTTGGGTATTTATGAAATTTATTTCATATATTTAATATATATTTATTTATGACAATTATTTAATAGAATTGTACAATAAATATTATATTATATATTAATATAAAACTTGTAATATATTTAAAAAAATACATGAAATTTAGTAATTTTATTATATATAATAATTTTGCAAAAAAAATTTGAAAGAGTAAAGATAATTATCCAAAAAAAATTGTGAGTTGTCAGAATATTTGATGAGTTCAAAATATTATATCAAAAAAAAAAAAAAACTGTGTCAATTTTGCTGAAAATGTTGAAAGATTTTAATAAAATACATACAATTATAATTATAACATCACAATTATAAACATTTGTATTTTACAAAAACATTGTGTCAGATTTTATAAAAACAGTAATAGTTGTTACTGACACTTACAATCAACCATAAAAATGATAATTATGCTATTATTGACGCCTTTGTGACCAAAACTTTTTTAAGAAATGGTAATATTAACAACATTAAAGCATCAAAATGAGATTAATTAAAATGAATTGAATTGCCAAACCTTTTATTTTAGCTTAGTAAATGTCTTGTACTTAAGAGTTCCAGTGATGAAACTACCTATTATCAATTTTAATAATAGTCACCAATAGTATGGTTAGTCATACTGTTGGTTGTTTTTCTATTAATGGATATCGCATGACAATACATTTTTATATTTAAATGTCGTAACACAATTTAACATAATACTGGTTGCCTAGTAACAAAAACTAGTTCCCCAATAACAAAAACTGCCTCCCCAGTTACAAAAACTTGTTCTCCAGTAACAAAAACAGACCCCATAAATAAAAAAGTAATAAAATGTTAAAATTTCTTCCAAAAACTGGTGTCTAACAGTATTAAAAAAAGTTAATTTTTTTATAAATTAAGTGCATGTGTAAATACAACAATTTTTTTCTAATATTTTTAAATGACACCTTTTTAATACATTTAAATATTAAGTTATTAAACCGTCTTGTTTTTGATCACATTGCATATAATTATTGTGAGAAGTTTTTTGAAATCAACACCAACTTTATAATTTTTTGACGTTTGTTTATCGTCATTGAATCAAACTGGAAGCTGAATACATTTTAGTGTGAAGGTGAAATCTGTTTGAACTTTTACTAATAAAAACACCTGTTAAAACTTGTCTGTCAATGTAATTATTGAGCAGTGCATATACTACCAATCGAATTCCATTGTGAAGTTCTGCTTTGAGATTTCTAAATTTCGAAATAACATAATTTTAAAACATTTTCAGAGCTTATATACAAACATGCCAAAACCGTTTTTATAAGTTTCTCAATAATAATAGTTACCATGAACTGATCAAGTCTAATTTACTAGTTGCCATGAGCTGGTCAAGTCTGATTTTTAGCCTAACAAAATTGTTTTCTAAACAAGTTATTAATAGTTTAACAATAATTAAGACTGACAGGAATGTCCAAAATATCAAAATGACATAAAGGAATAAAGCAGATTAATTAAATAATGAGAGATAAGGATAGTTGAAGATTTTTAAATAAATAAAAATAATTAAATATAACGATGATAAAATAAGATAAATTAGAGATACAGATTAAAATATATTTTTTCAATTTCTAGTGTTGCTATTATAAAACAATTTTTTTTTTACAAATATATTTTTGAAATTTAGCGCTATATCTTCTTCAGCACCTATTCTTGCTTTTGTGGATATGAATGATTGTGAAGTAAGTTGGATTAATAAACATGTTTTAATTAATATTTTCGGATTAATAAACATGTATTGTAACATATAAACATATGTTGTAATATATAAACATATGTTGTAATATATAAACATGTGTTGTAATATATAATAAGCTATAGCACAATAAATTTTAACTTTTTTGGTTGGGTCTGAAAAATATCCACATAAAGAGCGACCAGAAAATGATTGAGTTCTCTTGGTTTCCTACATGTAGAAAGTGTTAGTTATGTTGTAAAATGTTTGTTTTTATTAATTACTCTAGTTTTTAGACTTTGATTAATTTGGTTTTATATTATACACTTCGTTATATGATTCATTATATGAAATTATATTTATCATATGATCCATTATAAGAAATCATATTTATGCATGATTATATGTATATAATATATGATATATATATATATATATATGATATATATATATATATATGTATATATATATATATGTATATATATATATATATATTTATATATATATATGTATATATATATATATATATATATATATATATATATATATATATATATATATATATATATATATATATACACAGTATCGGACAAAACAAGTGCAATCAAATAATGCTAATTTAGTTTCTTTATATAATAGTGCTTCATTTTTTCAATTTAGAGAAATAACTATGTAACTGTTTAGAGACAACGTTCTTCAAGTTTTATTCATCACAAAGTTCATTATTTGTACACGAAAATTAATAAATTAATCAAAAGTATTAAAAAAAGTTGATTTCCTTCTGGACAAAACAAGTGCAACTCCAAAAAATATTGACCAAGCTGTATTTCGCTATCAATATTTTGTGGCGAATCCTTTGTTGTCAATCACAGCCTTGCATCTTCGAGGCATAGATTCAATCAGGTTATCAATGAAACTTTGTGGAATCGCTGCCCAGGCTTTTTGGATTTGTTCAAACAGTTGATCCTTATTACAAACACCTTCACGATTAATTCTGCGGTTGATGATCTCCACAGGTTCTTGATAGGGTTGAGATCCGGAGATTGAGGTGGCCGATCCATCACCCAAAGGTGGTTGTCTTGAAACCACTGTTTGACTACTTTTGCAGTGTGTTTCAGATCATTGTCTTGCTGAAAAACCCATTTTATTGGCATATTCCATTCAGCATGAGGTAAAATAGCATCTTTCAGGATATTTTTATACATGAAACTGTCCATAATACCATCCGTTCGATGTATTAGACCTAGACCGTTAGCAGAAAAACACCCCCAGACTACATTGCCTCCACCATGCTTCACGGTCTTATGGCAGTAACATAAATGGAGGCGTTTTCCAGCCGGTCGACGTACACAGCAAATGCCATCGCTCCCAATGATGTTGAACTTCGGTTTATCACTGAACAGGACAGTTTGCCATTTCTGCACATTCCAGTCAATATAAGATGTAGCAAACAGGAGTCTTTTCTTCTGGTTCTTTATTGAAATCAGTGGTTTCTTTGCAGAGCGTCAAGAAAACAATCTAGCTTCAAGTTCTTAGTTGGATGTGGACTGTATTGATGTAATGAAACACTTGTTGTATTTCACCTCTTGTATTGATGTTCTTTGATAAAACACTTTGATAACTCACTTCGATAAACTGTCTTGATAATACTGACTGATTGACTTCCATATACTGACTGAATTTCATGTCGGTTTACATGTCTCTTATATAGTAAAAAAAACCTGTGTAAACCTGTTCTGGAAGATTCTAGATGCCTCTTTTCGATGCTTCTGGATGCGTCTGGATGCTTTTGTATGTTTTTCATGTCATAGCATGCTATGACTCCAGGCTCCTGAACTGTTTTCTGTGGTAGTATAGTTCGTTTTGTGTTTAAGACACAGGAACACTTTTTAGCATTGTTCGATGTTGGTTGCAAATGTTTTGTCCAATACTGTATATTACAAATAAAAATGTTTTTTTTTTAGTATTTTAACAAGCAAAGAAATTTTATGTTATTTTTATTTATTTTTTGATTAAAATTATTCTGCTTGTTTCAATTATATTGAAACAAGCAGAATAATTTTATATACTGAAACAAACAGTATAAATTAAATGTTTTTTAAATATACTTCTTAAATTGGAAACATGAATGATAATGAATCAATGAATGATAACTAATAAATTAGGATATAAACAAACAGGTAAAACAAAAATAAAATATTTTTTAAAAATTATTTTTGCTACAGTTTTTCATTTCAGTTATTTTTAAAACAAACTAAAGCTTATTATATTATTTTATTTTATAAGTATTTATTTAAAATTGCATAGTATATAATTGAACTTTACAATTTTTTCTTCATAATGTATCTGGAGTATTATTCTCTTAAAAAATGATAAGTGGGAGACCAACATTGTGTTTACTTCTTAATTATAGCTATTTTATATTATATTATATAAAACTTTTTTATATTATATTATATAAAGCTATATTATTTAAAATTCTATAATTGCTTTGGTTACGCAGTTCTTGATTGTAACAATAATATTTGACTACAATTTTGATTGGAGCTTAATTGACAATCTTGATAGTTTTTATGGTCTTCTGCTTGGCACTTTTTGTTGTAGATAAAAAAATTTTAAAAAACATCAGATAGTTTATTAGACAACATTTTAGCACTTTTTTTTTTTTTTTTTTTGTCTAAAAGATATCTGTATTTGCATAGTGAGAAGATGCAGGATCCGAAATACTTTATTTAAAATACATGTAAATACAATACCTAAATAATTAATGCTTGATCAATGGAATTTTTTAAGGTTTATTTAGAATCATTGACAAAAATCATATCTAATTATGTAGATTTCTTGATCAGAAGCAAGTATAAAACAAAGCATGAGTTAGAATTTTTATTTTTTAACAAAGTGATCTGTTATCTTTTTAGAAAATTTTGTATTGGTTGAAATATAACTGAAAATGAAGTAAATTTCATATTGCTATTGTAATATATAATTTCCTTTTTTTTTTTCCGCAGCAACATAAGGTTATGATCACAGCAACAAAAGGCGATGATCATAGCAACATATGGCGATGATCAAAATTTATTACGCTTTTTTAAACTTTCTACTGATTTGCATTTTTCAGAGTTTTATTGTTTTTTTCCGGTTGTATGTGGTCAATTGTAGACAGTAGCAGTTGTATGTGGTAAATTGTAGACAGTAGCAGTTGTATGTATTAAATTGTAGACAGTAGGAGTTGTATGTGGTCAATTGTAGACAGTACCAGTGTAGTAGTAGAGCACTCACTTCCCAAAGTAAAAAGTTTCAAGTTCAACAGGTTTGTCTCTTGTAATACTACGCTTAACTCGTTACTCTGTGCTATTGCTCATCAAAGATCAGCTTTTATTGTTAAAAGGTTGAAAGAGTTTGCAACTTTTTGATTTGGTCATTTTCATTGTCTTCAGCTCCTCTGACTCTATATATAACCAATATTTTTTTTATTACTATTTTTAACAATATTTCTGTAATTTAAGTAGTACCTATGTTTTCCTATTTCTTTTTTTTTTTTGAATTTTTTTAATCATTTTTATAACAAAAGTATAAATATAATTTAGGAAATTGTATTTTACAGGCAAATCGTTTTCTTTTTAGTTATTTTATCAAATTTCTACTAATGATTTCAAGCTAGCTGGTGGCAATGCTTGCGCAACTTCTATAAGAAACTCATGGCAAACTGTTTTAAATGTTGGAGAATCAGGTTGTTGTTGTTTTTTTTTTTTGGGGGGGGGGGGGGTTTCAATATATCTTGATATAAATTATAATTTTTTTTTTTTTTTTTTTTTTTTTTATGTAAGAAACTTAAAAGTTTTTATTTTTTAAAAGTTTTTATTTTTTGATTTGAATTTTTGTTTAAATTATTTTTTTATTATTTTTTTAATGTTTATTTTTATTATTACAACTAATAAATAATATGACTGTCATAAATAATGTTAATAAATAATATGACTAATATTAAGTCAACTCATATTGACTAATACATTTTTGAAATCGGCTAAGTCAATTTAGTCAAAGTATGGGAATAATTTATTTTTTTGAAATAAATTGTAATAAAAATAATAAAGCAATTAATTTATATTCACTTTCTATTTTTTAATATCATATTGTTTAAATAATAATGGAGCAAAACAATATGAGAGAAGGGTTGCTCTGGCAATAGGACAATCTATTCCCAGACCCCAATGGTTTTGGGATTGCCTCAAATACATGCTACATATCAAAAAGTCATTATAATTTTATTTACAATGTGATTGTATAGATTAATGAAATTTCAATTTCGGAACTTCACAACTTAATTTTGCCCCAGGGCCCTTAGCCAGCTTGGAGCAGTCCAATATGAAAGTATTTATGAAAATCGCAAGCATATAGTAAACAAAAGATAAAAAATGAATGAAATACATAATCATAAGTTTATTTAGGTATAAAAGCTAACATGCTATGAATTAGATAAAACTTTAAGAGAGTAAACAAAAACCTAGATAATAGTTATAATAGTGTATACTATTGTTATTAAATGAACAAACAAAATATAAAGGTTAAAAAGTTAAACTGAATGAAAAGATATAAGGATTTTAAATTTTTTTCTTGATAAAATTGACTTTTATTTAATTAATAGATAGTCCATAGTCGGTTAAATTGACAATTTTTCAAAGTCGACTAGTTTAGACTCTAAACTAGTAGACTTTTAGTTGTAATTTAGTTGTAGTCAATAACAATAATACTTTTATAACAGATATTTTTTTGTTTATAACAAATACTTTTTTGTTTATAACAGATACTTTTTTGTTTCAGATACTGGTCGTTTAAAAATATCAGAGCTATTTAAACTTTGCAAGCCATTAAAAACATTTGATGATGTTTACAATCTGAACAATTGGTTTTCTGAAGTTTGGGTAAATTTAGCTATGGGTAAGTTTAGTTGGTGGTATTACAATTTAAAAAGCTATAAAATTTTTAATAAAAATGTTTTAAACAGGTTTTTAACATTCATATTTAATGATAAACATTTTAACATTCATAAACATCAAATTTAATGATAAATGATAATCATTTTTTTAATTCATTTTTTTATTTTTTTATTTTTATTTTTTATTAGTGTATTTCACAACAAATATCGTTTTTTTGTCGTTTTTTAATCTATTTGTCTTTTTTTTTTAGTTAACTATCCTTACCCTGCAAATTTTCTTGAGGATTTACCTGCATGGCCAATAAATGTGAGTCTGTTAATAAATTGTAACAAAAATTTTATGAAATACTATGCTAAAAATAATGCAATAATTATTTTAATGGTTTACATAGTTTCAGGTTTTTTAAAGAGTTTCAAATTTTAATGTTTTTCAGGAAGTATGCAAGCATCTCCAAAATAGTAATGCCACAGGAGATGAACTAATTCGAAATCTTGTCAACGCTGTAAATGTTTATTTTAATTTTACTGGTCAATCTTCTTGTTTAAACATTGAACAACAAGCTTCTGGAAGTTTAGGAGATCAAGGATGGGATTTTCAAGTATTGTAGTTTGTTTTTATTCTGCACTACTACTTACTCTGTTTACTTTTTTTTATCGATATGTCATTAAGTTAAAATTTTTTTATCGATATATCATTAAGTTACAATTTTTTTATCGATATATCATTAAGTTACAATTTTTTTATCGATATGTCATTAAGTTAAAATTTTTTTATCGATATGTCATTAAGTTAAAATTTTTTTATCGATATATCATCAAGTTAAAATTTTTTTATCGATATATATCATTAAGTTAAAATTTTTTTATCGATATGTTATTAAGTTAAAATTTTTTTATTGATGTGTCATTAAGTTATTTCTTATTCAAAAAAGTGATCTTCAATTTTATAGTTTAGTAGAAATGAAGAGTTTTAAATGTTTATGTCTTGAATAGGTCTTTATGATATAAGCAAATCTTTTATAATCTTGCATATTTGCAAACAAGATACAAAACAAGTTATTGTTAAGCATTATTATTGGAAGGCGTTTAATAAAACCAAAGTAGTTCAGATTTTTAAATCGTCTGAATTTAGTAATCGTGTTTTAGAAATAAAAATTACAACAGTAGCAAAAGTTTTCACGAATTAAATATCGTTTTACATGTATTGTAAATTTAAATATTGTATTTGCAGGAACGTCTATTTTTGATAGGGAGTCTTGGTATTAAAAGTTTTGAAACTATTATTTATTTTTAATTATGTTATATTTTATAAATAATTAATATTTTTGAGGCATTGGAAATTGTTACTTTATTTTTATTTGTTTTTTCACGCAAAATATAATAAATTTAAACAACAATTATTTTGTGTCAAATTTTAGTTTATAAATTTATGAGTTTTGTTATTAAAAATTATATTTTTAAATCAATTTTATAAGCTATTAAATTTAAGAGTTTATATTTTTATTAGGCGTGTACAGAAATGGCTATGCCTTTATGTCAAGATGGTATTCGAGATATGTGGCTACCATATAAGGTAATAAATATCTCTCCGTTAATTTTATTTCACTTTTTTTTAAAACTTCATAATCCTGAGAGTTGTGGAGTTTTTTTTTTCCAGAGAGAACCTGTGAACAACAGGGGGTGCTTTTTTAGTAGATAAAAGTTTAATCATTGCTTCTCGAAAACGCATTTATAATCGTTTTATAAATTGTTAGGAAATTATGATATTTATAATTTTTTTAGTATGATTTCGATGATTTTGCAACTTCTTGTAAACAGAAATGGGGCGTAACAACGCGCAAGTACTGGTCTCAATCGCAATACGGGGGTTTTAATCTTAACGGTGCAAGTAATATAGTCTTTAGGTATATAATATTTCTTTAGATAGGCAATGCTTTTATTGTTAATATGTTTTTACATTTATTATAAAATAGTTAATATATGGATGGTGTTAAATAAAAGGGAACCAACATTAGAAAAATTATTTTTTTAAAAAAAATGAATAACAAATAAGTTGTTTTGTATGTCACAAAATGACGCACACTAATGATATGCTTGGAGTCTTTTTACAAAGTATTTTTTACAGAGTATGGTTCCAATAGAACACAAACTGAATTTTAGGGCAAGTTTAAGGATGGTTACCTTTTGTTTAACACCATCCATATGTCTTCTGTAGATAGTGTTTCTATTGTTCGTAGTTATCGTCGTTTTCGTAATAAAAATGATTTCTTTTGTAATATTGTTTCAACATTTTTTCTTGGTTGAACTTTTTGAATCTTTAGTAATGGCAAGTTAGATCCTTGGTCTGGTTATGGAGTACTAAAGTCTCAGTCCCCAACTATTAAAGTTGTTATGATTGATGATGGTGCACACCATCTTGACCTAAGAAAATCAAACTCGCTTGACCCACAGTCAGTAATTGATGCAAGGAACATACACAAAAGTAATATTCATAGTTGGATAAACGAGTATCACATGCAAAAGAAAAACACAATTTAGAACTCGCTAAAAGATTTTTATGTAATTGATTTTTTTTTATAAAAATGTGCACATATGTAATATAAACAAAGTAATTTTTCAACATAATTGTTTATCTTTATAAGTATCATTTTATATGATCATTCGTTGTAAAACTTTTTTATCGGATAATCTGTTTTTTCATTTGTAAATTGAAAAAATCAAATACAATTTACGATTTCGCTGTTCTTATTAAAGCTATATTTTGCTTTAATAAGAACAGCGAAATTTATAATTTAAATATAAAAAACCTTTTGCGGACTCTGAATTATCATTTTATCCGAATATTTATTGTGGTAAATATTCGGATAAAATGATAATTCAGAGTCCGCAAAAGGTTTTTTATATTTAAATTATAAGGACTTTACCTTATTAAGACGAAGTAATCTTATTTTATTATAGTAACATGTAATAAAGAGGTATGTATGATAGTACTGTTTTTATTAAAAATTATTTTTCTTCGCTATAAAACTTATGTACAACCTATTACTAGATAAAAAATATTTTTCGATCGAGTAATACTTATCTGTTGTAATTTACTTAATTTATAAAACCAAATAGATATTTTAAACATTTTCAATTGAATTATTTGATATAGAAAATTAAATATTTTAAACAATTTCTTTAAAACATATTTCTCAACTAATTTTTTTTAGGATTATTTGTCAGTATTGTCATCATCAGCATTCATCATCATCAATCATTGTCATCAATCATCATCACCAATCATCATCAACAATCATCATCAACAATCATCATCAGCAATCATCGTCATCAATCATTGTCATCAATCATCATCACCAATCATCATCAGCAATCATCTTCACCAATCATCAGCAATTATCATCAGCAATCATCATCAACCATCATCACCAATCATCATTAGAAATCATCATCAGCAATCATTATCAGCAATCATCTTCAGCAATCATCATCAGTAATCATCGTCATCAATCATCGTCATCAATCATCATCAGCAATGATGATTGCTGATGATGATTGTTGCATCAGTCATCATCAGCAATCATCATCATTTTGTATGATCATTCGTTGTAAAACTTTTTTATCGGATAATCTGTTTATTATAGCTATAATTATATAAACATACATTTATATATATATATATATATATATATATATATATATATATATATATATATATATATATATATATATATATATATATATGGCTTTTTCCGCGTGGTTCTCGTTAAAGATGGTCGCTTAAATAAAAGCTCCGTTCCTGCAGTTATCTAACCTTCTTTAACATCATTAGTTCATCCTTATTTGTAAAGTTTATTATTTTAATTCTGAAAAAGATCATGAGCATCACGGAAAGTAGACTCGTTCAAATTTTAAACCTAAACAAAAACGAAATTATCCGAAGCTTCAAAAAGTGACTCGAAGATTTAACAACTCAATTAAAAGATACTCAAAACACCCTCAGTATTACGTATGATATAAAACACCCTCAGCATTACGTATGATATGGCAGTAAACAATGAGAAGGAATTTCTTTCCTTAAAAAGCCAACTAATCAAATCAAAAAAAATTACTTCCTTTAAAAGAAATAAATAAAAACGTATATAAGAGTATTACTCATATTTCGATTAGTTTGATTGTCAATTTTTAGCTCAATAGTTTCCTGATTTGATATAATATCAACTCAGAAAATTATTGACCTAAAAATTGACGATCAAACTAATCGAAATATGAGTAATACTCTTATATTTCGAGGTATTAAAGATGGAAATAATGAAAACTGGTCAGCTACAGAAAATAAACTTATAACATTCCTCGTTAAGCACGCTAAAATACATCCGGATAAAGCAACTAGAATGGTTGAGCGAGCACATAGATGGAAAAAAAAACAACAATTCTCCGTCTCACATTTATGTGAAGTTCTATGACTGAAAAGATGCCTAACATGTTATTCATACTTTCAAAAATCTGCATAATTCTAAGTTTATGGATATGAGTATTTATGTTAATCAAATGTACTCTCCCTTATTGACCGCTCGACGTAATGAAGCTCTGTTGGCTCGTAAACAACTCAAAGCAAACAATGAAATAACATCTGGTTTTATTGCTTATTTTACTACGCCTATAGTTAAAAAAAAAACAAGAAAGACCTCAAACATATTAAATATAGAATTTTCTAAATAGTATTTGAATTTTTATTTGATTTACTTTTTTCATCATTTCATCATTTAAAGGTAAACTTTTATTATAATACTGACCTTAAATCTTCCCTGTAGGCAGACACGTGCTACATTTATTTATTTATCAAGGAATAATTATACTTCCTCAAACAAGTTTAACTTCATATATCTATATATTTTAAGTTAACTCTTAAAAGTATAAATAAAGGTTTTTTCAAACTTTTTTCTTTATTATATATATTTATTCATATATATTTATTTATATCACGATATAAGCATATTTGATTATTCGTTAATATTAATTAATATATACTAAACTATAGATATATCATGGCAAATAGCTTATGTGCAATTTGTAAAATGATTGTCTCTAAAAATTAAAAAGCTATTTTTTGTGATAACTGTTATCTTGGGTTCACATAAAGTGTAATGACCTTAACGATATAGACTATCATTTATTCAAAAACTCATCTAATGATGATTTATGGTTTTATAATCACTGGCTGAGCTCTATATTTCCATTCAACAACAAATATTCTATTAATAGTGGCTCAAATAGCGTTAAGAAAAAGGTTGCTCGTCATCCTTTAAAAAATCTCAAATCTATTATTGATATCTTTAATAATATCTCGTGTGAAGCTGATCATAAAATAAAATTAGCATTTATTAGTTTCTAAACTGATATCAGTGGTATAACTCATTTTTCTAAAAATTCTTTTAAACTTATTCGGCTAAATATTGCTTCCCTCTCAAAGTACATTGAAAACTTGGAACATTTATTATAATCGACTCAACTAGACTTTAAATATTATTGGAATAACAGAAACTAGATTAATTAATAATAAAATTCCAACTGCAAACATCTCGCTTAATGGTTACTGTTATGGACATACACCCACAGAATCACAAGCTAGAGGTGCTCTTTTATACATTAGTAATAAGTTTGCATATAAAACTCGATGTACTATATGTATTTTATACATTACTATATGTATTTTATAAACTATATGTATTTTATACATTAGTAATAAGTTTGCATATAAAACTCGAAAAGATCTTAATTTTTACAAACCAAAAGAATTAGAATCTGTTTTTGTTGAATAAATGAACCCTTAAAAATCAAATATTATTGGTTGTATAATTAAACATCCATTAATGAAAATAGATTACTTTATGGCATTCTATATTTTTCCATTACTTGAAAAACTTTTTAAAGAAAATAAAACTGTATTTTTACTAGGTTATATTATTATAAACTTAATTAAAAGTGACTTCCATTTGACTTTAAAAGTTCTTAAATTTAATATCCTCTAATTACTTCTTGCTTCATTTTATCCATCCTACTCGTACAGCTAATAAATCTAAAACATTAATTAAAAACATATTTTCAAACCTTAAATCAAATATCTTTATTGCGGGTATTTTCACAACATCTATATCTGATCACCTCCCTCTGATTTTGAATTTCTGATTGTTCATGACATCTTTAAAGTATCATCTAGCAAAAACTAGCTTTTTATGAAAGAAACTGGAAAGTATTTAATGAGGCATCATTTTTATCTGATTTTAAAAAAGATTTTAATGATAAGGTTGCCAATGAGTCTTTTCATAATCAAGGCCGGCGCGAGAGGGGGTGTGACACCCCCTCCTCCCCCATCCATGATTTTTAGTCGGCAAACTGGACCCTTTTAGACTAGTTAATCAGCAAATGTCGACCCTTTTGATATAGATTAGACAGTCGGTAAATGTCGTCATGACAGTCGGCAAATTTTGGAAAACGAGGACCTTTTTTTTTTTTTTTTAGTCGGCAAAAGTTGTAATGGCACCCCCCACGTGACACCTACTCGCGCCGGCCCTGGTCATAATGACTGTTATAGCTTGCTTCTTAAAACTATTAACACTATAAAAAAATTGCTTGATATTAACGCTCCTTTAGAAAATTAACTAAAGTGGCAAACAAAACAATTGTCTCTCTGATGATCTAAACCTCTCTATTAAATACAAAAATAAGTTTTAAAAAATATATATACAATTAAAAGATTCTAATAATAAAACTGTATTTCATAATGATTACAAAAAGTACCGTAATACACTTCAATTAATATATATTTTAAAGACTGCTAAAATTGTTCCTATTTTTTAAAAAAATTCAAAGTTATTAGTATCTAACTATAGACCAATATCTCTCCTCTCAAATATTGATAAAATTTAAGAAACGCTTAAGTTTAATCGAGTCTACAATTTCCTTAACAATTCTAACATTTGGTTTCAAAACGAATTATTCTACATCGTTTGCCCTATTAAGTATGACTAAAAATATTAGAAGTGCTCTAGATAAAGCGTTGTTTGGTTGTGGTATTTTTATAGACCTTCAAAAACTCTTTGATACTGTGGATAATAAAATTCTATTTAAAAAACTAGCTTACTATGGTATAAAGGGTGTTTCAAATTCATTAATATTTGTGATGTCACTGTTGGTGTGCCTCAAGGGTCTGTTCTGGGCCCATTATTGGTTCTAATCTATATAAATGATTTATCCAAAGTCATAAAACTTTGTAGAGTCCAGCACTTCGCTGATGATACAAATCTGCTTTATCTTAATAAGTCAATCAATGAAATTAATAAATATGTCAACTATGATCTAAAAAAGCTCTGCAACTGGTTAAATGCGAACAAAATTTCTTTAAATACAAGTAAAACTAAGTTGATTATTTTCAAACCAAGGTTAAAATATCCTAGTCATTAATTTAAAATAAAGTTAAACGGTAAAAAAACTTTTCCCCCTAAAATGTGCTAATTATCTTGGAATAATAATTGATCATAGTCACAAGAATAGATAGTCTGGAAGCGTACAATAGCTTATTATATTATCTCTTTGTACCCGGAAAAACTAGAACCCAGA